ACTCTTTCCTGCCTATGCAGGGGGTTGGACTCGATGATCTATTGAGGTCCCTTCCGACCCTGACATCTATGAATCTATGAGAACATCCTGTGTTGCTGTGTCTTGTACACCAGGATGAGTTTGATAAGGACTTAGGGTGCTCTACAATAAGGCTGGTCAGGTCACCAGATGTTGAAAGCATCATCTAAAAAGGAAGTTTCCTCCAGCCGTGAGGAGAGACCTAAAAGTAAAGGCCTTCACTCACAGTCCCTATTTTGCTTTGCAGGTGGGTGTGTGAGGGTGCCCTACACAGGAGGCTTTCCAGGTCCTGTATTCAAGGGTGGTTTACCCAGGAATATGAGCAGCCTGCAGTTTGGAAAATTCAGTGGAACTTGGACACCTGGGGAGCTGGGCTCAGGAAGGAGGAAAGCCTGTGGGCCTAAAGGAGCCAATAGGCAAAAAGGAGCAGAGAAGTGAGCCTCTGGTAGGTGACCAGAGCACTGGCAGCATCTCTCAGGCCAGGCCTGGCACTGACAGTGTTGAGTCCCCTGTACATGAGCACGTAGCCCACCCAGGCTCACAGTCTCTGTATAATTGCAGACCACTCATGGTCTTTTGATACCATTGCTCTCAGGCATCACTCAGAGGGGCAGACAAACCAGAGGTGGTGGTCCTCACTGTCAGCAACCTCTAAGTACAGTGGCCACAACTTCCAGGGAGGCTGTGCCTTTGAAGAACCTGGGGCCTTTAACCATTCAGCACAGCCTCTGAGCACATGCTGTCACCCAACAGCTGTTCTCTTGAGTGGTCAAAGCTGACTCTCCACTTTCCTATATAAACCCTTGACTTCGAACGTGCAGAGGAGAGGGTTTATGCATTATATAGCAAATTACTTAAATTTGATCTAAATGCCAGCTGAGGATTCGCCCTGCATCCTACTGTTACTAGCAAGTGGGCTCACCTAGTGTCTTCATTTTTATGTTCTTCATTCCCAGATTCATGCCCAGCGTTACCAGAAATTCCTAGGCATTTCAGTTCTCAGGCTACAGTTTTGTATCCTGTCCACTTTACCTCTGCCCCTTGAGAAGACCTTGGCTCTAGGGTGTCTCAGCTTATGTCTGTGCATTCATTTACCACGGGGACCTTCTGCATCAAACCCAGGGCTCTGCCTGTTCTGAAACCCAATGTTTCACTTCATTCACAGGGACTATAACAAGGCTCCTTAGTTCCAGTTTCTCTTGGACTTGCCCCTTCAAGATAACATCACCCTTTCATAGAGGTGAGTTCCCCACCAGGATTGCTGGGCTTCCCTCAAAGTAGTCATTTCTCCTCCAGATTTTCTACAATACTGTCAGACAGAGCATGCCCCTGAGCACCAGACTCCTGCTTATCAGTCACAAGCGCTTCCTGGGTCTCTAAGGAAAGAGCCCAGTTCTGTGCTTCAACTTTTCAAGACACAGCCCCTCTGTGGCCTTCTCCGTTGCTGTCTGGGCTGCCCTCCTGGTACACAGTGTCAGCATCATTGCTGGGCGCTCCCTGGCTTCTGCTGCTGCTGGCTGCAAACTCCTGTAGCAAAATAGCTCTCCCTCCTGCAGCTGGGACTGTTTTCCAAGGCTGGACAGAATTTGGGTCTGCATGGCTCCACACCCTGTGCAGTTCTTGCCTCTTGCAAATCCCAGCAGTTTGTTTATGGTTTCTCTCCTGAGTTTTTCACTCTCTGGTGTCTGCTTTCCAAGCTCTTCTACCTCCTGTCATTCTGCCCAGTGCCCCTGCACTTCCCTTTTCTTCCAGAAATGCTCATTCTCTCCTCAGCAATGTCTGCAGCTGGACACAGCCTGGCAGCTCTTTCCAAGACTGGCCCCATGTTTCCCACCAGCTGTTTCTGTTGTTTGGATGTTTGAATCTCTCCAATCTCTTACAGCAGAGTCAGCCCAAGCGCTATAATTCCCAGCCTGACTCACGCATTGTTCAGCAGTCAAAAATCCTTTCAGGACTTCCTTTTCTTTGCATCCTCCCAGGGACCTGATAGCAATCACAAAATAGCTTCTTTGGGTCTGTCTTGAAACCAAGCCACTATTTAGGGAGGAAAAAGCCAGGCTTGTAAACTTCCCAGGAAATTTCAACATCCCCAGAGAGTTTAAATGCTTGAGGAGCTTTTAATGGATATTTCATCCTTGTGATCCCATTCTCCCTCCCTCGTCTCCTATCTCTCCTTGCAAATCTGTTCTTTTTCAAACATCCTCTCCTATTGCCCTGTGAGGTCTGGGTTATCAAGAGTGAGGACAAAGTGTAGAAGAGGATTATAGTCCAGTCTACCCAGACGGTCTACCTGGATTTTTCCTTTTCCCTGGTCACCCTGGGCCAGGACTTTGTGACTCAGAAGTCAAAGACACCTCCCAGCTGCATGAAGGCATTATGTCATTAAGTGCCTTAGTGAAGACTCAGGACTGAAATGTGGGCACTAGTGCAGGTCAGTTGAGAGGGGCTTTTCCTCTTTGGGCAGCACTTTATTGATGTGATGTGGTCCTCCTGCCCATTAGAAGAGAACTAGAAAAAGCTGCTGGTAATCAAAGTCCCCAAACCCCAATATTAGTTGGGGATGGAAGTTGGAGCAGGTCTCTGGATCCCACCTGCTTTTCAGGTAAGCATGGGTGTAAACAGCAGAAGGCCGCTCCATGAATTACAGTGACCTTAGCTGCTTCTTTCAGCTGCTGGCCTCACCAAGACATAACTTCCTGGGCTGTCTGCATTGCTTTGGGGGAACCACAGTTGGAAAAGAGGAGGTAACTATAAGAGAGCTCCCTGCACAAGGACCTGAAGGGAGGGAGCTCCAGAGCCTGGAGAGATGCCCAGAAGAAAAGAGACTGTCAAGGACTCAGGTTAAGGATTTGAGACGGTGCACTGACTAACACCGACCCCTGAGAGACATCTACAGAACCCGACTAGGTGAGGATCAGCCTGGGCATCTCCCCTCCTGCCAGTCTGTGACATGCTCCAGACTGTGAATCCTAACATTAGGTTGCATTACATATGACCCATAGAGGACCATGGGGAAGGGAGCTGTAGGGCCTGGAGTCACCTGAGATTAGCAAGGCTTCAGGAGTTTTCTAATTTGGAGGGCAGGGAAAGTGTCCTACATTCCTTATGCCACCGGTGCCCACTCTGTCAGGGGGAGAAGGGAGTATCCTGCTCTAAAAACCTCACCCCTTGCCCCTTTTTAAAAACCTGTCACCCCCTTTCTTAACGCCTAGTAACTTAATATGCCTCCCAGGGTCCACAGGCAAGTTTCCCTGTGATTGGCTGTCGAGGGCTCTGATGTCACAGTGGCGTTGCACAGGTGTCAGCTGG